CCCGGCTATAGGCTATAGGACCGTATACCAGTATAGGCCGCTTAGGGCCTGTCTGTCCTAGGGTAGCCCGGGCCTGCTATAGGCAGTTAGGGTAGCAGTAGGGATTCGGTTAGTTTAGGGCCTGTAGTCCCTCAGAATTACAGGTCTGTCCCTCACGAATTTCCCAACAGGCAAGTCACTTGGTTAGTCCTCAGCCAAACAAAATTGTGAATCTAACCCTACTGTTAGTGTACAGCCTCGCAGACAAACTCGGCAGCAGAAATCAGCAAATCATTGCAATATTATGTAAGGAAGAAGCGGTCCGCATCTGACACTCCCGCCAGGCCCAGGAAAAATCAGGCAGGGAGTTCCAAGCGGTGTGCCGCAGGGGCCCGAGGAGGGCGCATCGGTTCGTGGGGGGCGTATTTGCGACTAGGGTCGTGGTGGTGCGCAGGGGTGTTTGGGGGAATATTTGCAACGAGGCCGGGCCGGGTGCCACGGGGCCGAGGGGGTCGACAGAAACAGAGAGAGAGGAAGCGACACAGGAGGAGGACACATGGGAGGAGCAGGAGGAGCGGGCGGAGGAACCGGGGGACGAGCCGGAGCAGCAGAGGGAGGAGGAGGAAGAGGAAGAGCGGGAGGAGCAGCAGGAGGGGGAGCGGGAGAAGGACAATGCATCGTCTGCTGTTGTTAACTGGTGTGAGAGAGAGAGAGAGAGAGAGAGAGAGAGAGAGATTCCATCGATAGGATGAGCAACGCACCAGCCAACAGGCTAGTCTCCAACCCCGCAACTGGCCTCGCGCTACTTTCATCGATAGGATGAGCAAAATCGAATGAATTTCCCACTAGAACATCAAAAAATACACTACTACACGCGCGCGCCTGTGTGTGTGTGTGTGTGTGTGTGTGTGAGAGAGAGAGAGAGAGAGAGAGTTTTCCTGCGATGCACGCAGATAAATGGAGAGAGGCTACTTCCATCGATAGGATGAGCAAAATCGGAATGAATCGGACACACACACACACACGCCCGTGAAGCAGTGTGCATATTTGGATGTTCTAGCTGTAGATCATTCGATTTTGCTCATCCTATCAATGGGAGTACCCCCCCCCCCCTCTCTCTCTCTCTCTCTCTCTCACACACACACACACACACTCAGAGGAAGTGTCTCCTTTTTTGGGGGGGGAGAGGGGAGTAATTTTCCAAATACCCCCATAAGTTGAGATATATGTCAAATTGTCCATAAAAGATATGGCCACAGTGGAATGGCCTTTTGGACTGACATGTTTGCATTATGCCCCTGTCAGGCCGGTGTGCAAATTCGCTTGGCCTTTTGGAATTGCACCTACAAAAACTTGGCAACTGCCGGGGCATTTTGCAAAGTCGGGCAGCATCCGGTAGGGGGTACATTGCAAAGACGGGGTCCAACTGATGGCTGGGGTGTTTCGCAATTTGTTTTTGTCATCGTCGTTCGCCACAGCGCAGCTGCGGCAGGTCCACTTGTAAAAGAGAAAGGAAAAGAAGGAAAACGAAAAGGAAAAGAAAAGAGGGCAAAAGCGGAAAGCCATGTGCCCCCTACCGTAGCCCCCATGCTTTTTGTCATTCAGATGGAAGTTCTCGTCCTTGATTAGGAAGAACCCCGCTATCCAGGGTCTGAGATTACCCAATGGGGAGCAATGCAAAGCATCAGCCATGGCGGACGACCTCTTCGCAATGTCAGTTAATACCAAAGAGCCGCTAGGGTCCCCTCAAAGCTTGTCTAGATCTCTACTTGAAATTCTCAAAAGCCCTGATCAACTGGTCTAAGTCTACTGTGATTTCCAATGATGGGACACAGTTTGTCTGTTAATTGGCGATTAAAATGCTGGGTGAATGTGAATGTTTCTTGGGAGTGCAGGTGAGCTTGTTGGACAGCAAAAAAGTGGCGAGCAATTTGGTAAAACGGGCGGCGGAGTCGAAGATTGGCAAGGTCTCATCTATCAAAGGTACATCCATCTTCGGGCGGGCACTGTTCCTCGACACGTCTGTCCTTTCACAAGTGTGGTATCCGGGATCGACAAGGAGGTTGGATGTTAAAACATACGGAAGAATTAGAGCCGTCTCCACCAGATATCTATGGAAGGGAACGGGGATGAGGAGGTGGGATATATTGCAAAGTTGGCCTGGAGGAAGGAGGTAGTGGGAAAAGCGGATGGGGGATTGGGAATTAAAGATCAGGAACTTAAGGTAAACACGCTGTTGGCTCGATGGGTGATAAACCTTCTTATGGAGGAATCTGCCCATCCCTGGGCAGAACTGGCAATTGGCTCGCTTATGAGAGATTGGGGACTCCAAAGGAGGGAGGACTTATGGGTAGCCTGGCTCACACCTTCCTTTGTCGAAGGTTCCATTAAATCAACCGTCTTGAGAGACATCCTCCATGCATGGGCCCAAGTAATGCCGCGGCAACCGAAGGAGCCACGGTCAAAGCAGGAGGTGCTGTCCCAGCACATCTTTGAGAATATCTTCATTTGCGATGAGAACGGGCTACCTTGGTCGGTCGAAGATGGACCGGGTCATTTTGGGCCTTTTTGGCTACATCTGGATCCAGAGGGGGGTGTCCAGGCTTTCGGATCTGTGGGATTCAGAACTGTTACGATGGAGATCGGCAGTCGAACTCAGGACGAAGCTGCATCACTTTTGAGGTCTGTTCCAGAGAGATTGGCAGAAGTGGTCACTAGTATCCCACAGCCATGGAAGGATGTTATGGCAGACCCTGGCCCCGCCCATGAAGGGCGTTGGGTCATCCAGTAGGGGCCGGCATCCCCAAGGAGGCTTGGAAGGTGACAACGGTGCTGGATCACGAACAGGCTGCTGTCATTCCCTACTCAATTACAGAAGGAGAAAGGAGAAGGGTAGGGGAGAAGGCAGGATGCCGTTACCTGGAGAGGTCGGACGGGGATGAGATAGCGGTTCCGCTTTTGACAGCGGTCTCCATCGTAGTCTGCTCCAACAGCATCAACAAGGAATCAGAAGAACTCATACTGTCCCCTGGGGGTGAAGGCGGCAAGGCGGCTAGCAAACTGAGAACTGTCCCTTTTACATTGGGGATGGCAGTTATTGGAGCCCCCCCTCAGAACAGTTAACTTACTGGAGTCCACTCCTAGGGGAGGATACCAAGCCCAGGCCAAGGCTTGGTTAATGCCCCTACCGTTTTCCCCCGAACACAACGCACCCTGATTTTGGCTGTATCTGGCCGGAAATATAGCTTGTATACATTCATTTTTAGGGTGCGTTATGTTCGGGGGAAGACGGTAGGGGTCAGTAACAGATGGCAAATGGAGGGCAGGGACAGCAGCTCACAGCAGAGAGGTTGCGTCAGCTCTGTAGCCCTGAGGAAGCTTTGGCGGTATATCAAAAGGATTCCATCGGCCAAAATGGGCAGTCTGGCTTGGCTCCAGTCCCACCGTTTAGTTCCTTCGACCAGCTGGCTATTGGCAAACACAATGCAATTTGATACACAATGTTCTAGATGTAAGAAATCGGAGGAGACCACCGCACACCTTTGGTGGGGATGTATCAAGTCTCAACGAATTTGGGTTTGGTGGGCTAAGTTAACTTCAAACATGTAGAGGACCAGATACAGCGGGACGAAAATTGGGTCCTAGATGGTATTACTCATAATGAGAAAGACGTAGGAAAGGGATGGATGTATGTGGCGCATGCTTGCAGAGCCGCCATCACACAGGTCATCTGGAAGCTAAGGAACGGTAGGACGCTCAAATCCAAATTTACTCTGATATTGCCATCATGAATATGATCCTCAAAGGTATCCGTTCCCTGGGATCGGCAGATTGGAGAAGGGCCAGACGAACTCGCTCCATGAGAGCTGCCAGGGAACTGTTTTTCCAAACCTGGGGTGAAACAGCTGACGACTGTTTTGTCAAGTATTTTGATCTGTTGATATATGGGACGCTTGACCCGTTCTCCAGCAGGTGCACCTCCCCACAAATAGAACGGTGCCTGTTTGAATTGGGCAAAAAAAAAAAAAAAGGGAAAAGCCATTTCCAAAACCTCGTGCGACTGCCTCCACCCTCAAAGTTCTCGTCTTTTTAAAGTTTAAAGGTCCTGACGTGATTATGCACTCAGCGATGTATCTCTTTTTGCTCATCCGAGTGCTCAGGAATCGCACCGAGGTCTGTTTAAACCACCAGTAGTTGGCCCAGCTATCAAGTCCAAGCCTCGGCCTACCAGTAGGCGGATCCGTGCCGGGGCTCGGACTACCAGGCGTTCAATTCCCGGAGCTGCTGTTGAAAGAAAGGCAAAGAAAGGAGGAAACAGAAAAGAAAGAAAAGAAAAAGAAAATACGAGAACATTCAAAAAAAAAAGAAAAGAAAAAGAAACAAACTGTCAAAAAAGAAAAGAGGCACCTGACGGAGAGGGAGAGAGAGAGAGAGAGATGCGGCGACCTTCATGGAGGGCCGCGGCAAGTTCACCGCCTCTCTCTCTGCGCGTGCACGCACGTGCACATTCGCAAGCAGGCATTTCTGTTCTCTATTGCGAAAACGGGAATGCATCTACCCACGTTCTCGCAATAGAGAACAGAAATGCCCGCACACACGTGCGACAAGGGAGAGAGAGCGAGAGAGACACAGGAGCGGTAACCTGCATGAAGGGCAGTGGCAAATTCGCCGCCTATCTCTCTTTCTCTCTCTCTCTCTATCTATCTATCTATCTATCTATCTATCTCTCACCCGCAAGCAAGCACGCACGCATGCATGCAGGCCTTTCCGTTCTCGCAATAGTAAACGGGAATGCATCTACCCATCTACCCGGGTAGATGCATTCCAATTTTCGCAATAGAGAACGGAAATGCCCGCCCGCACGTGCTACAGAGAGAGAGAGAAAGAGAGAAAGAGGGGTGGCGACCTGCACGGAGAGCCACGGCAAAATTCGCCGGCCGCCTCTCTCTCTCTCTATCTCTCTTGTTTTCGAAGTAGAACACGGGAATGAATCTCCCCGCTTTTGCAGGTAGGATCATGATTATGCACTCAGGGTTGTGACCTTTTTGCTCATCCGACTCCTCAGAATTTCAAACGAGGTCTGTTCAACAACAGTTAATTGGTGCAGGGTTCAGCCACATAGACTGGGCTTGCGACTGGTCTTCCGTGCACAATTCGTGCAGATGTCCAAGATACGTTTAAGTGCCATCAAGACGCAACAGGGTACACATCAAAACAAAATAAGACATTGGAAAAAATAAAAGGCCGACGGGAACAAGTGAAAGGTGCCATTTTCGATGCGTGGATGCCACATCGCTTCCGTTTTTCTGGGCTGTGACCTGTTTGCAGCTCGAAGGGGTGGGGTAATAAGACACGAGAACCAATAAAGTGGCATGTTTATGCAATTAACACGTATGCAATCTACACGTCCGTTTGACGTGTGAATGACACTGACACGTCACTTCTTGGATTGATGACATCTTATTCTGCTTGGTGCTCCAAGGAGTGTCCGCTGGTCACTCTCCTTTCTCATTCGGACTTTCCAAAACCAGACAATACACTTGCGGCTTTTTTTTACACGTGAGCAGCAACGTCTTCTTACCCATTCCCGGGCCAATCACCAACTCTCCCCCCATTTATGCACCGCCCGCCAACTGCACCTCCTAACAGTAGCCGATCCACTCTTAGGACAGTCATGCATCCCCGCCGACATCCATTGATCCCCGCCGACAGCCATGCATCCCCTCATCTGCCAGTTTCCTGCCGGTCATGGGCCTATCAGAAGCTTCCCTGCCATACATCAACATATGCGCACCAATAATGCCATTCGTGGAACCTGATGAGATCGGAGCAGGAGACACGTGCGGCACAAGACGGGTGACGACCCAACAAGTGGCAGCCCGATTGAGCACCGATGGCAGAACCCGAGGCGATCGGCAATAGCCAGGGGGTGGTGAGCACCAACGAGGGAGGAGGGCGAAGAACGTGGTCGAGATCGGCGCCGGGATTGATCTCCCCGGAGAAGGAGAAAGCGGGCTCGAGGATGGCCGACGCGACGCGGCCGCTGCTGCAGTGGGATTACTCGTCTTCATGCATTGAACAAAGATTCACGCTGAGATGTTAAAGGAATTTCTCCCTAACCAGGACACTCGCCGCCGCGCCAACGACTACCGCCACCAAGACGAACATCCAGGGGATTCTAACACCTCCACGATGCGGACGACTGTAGCGGCATCAAGGAGAAAACCGCTTCACTGGAGATGGTGCCGGCGCTGATGATGGCCACGAAGGTGAACTTCCTGGTCATCATGCCCAATGCCATGTGGAGGACGATAGCAGCCGCAAGAGCATTTACCTCGTCGGTGATGGCGGCCGCACTGATGCCCTCCAGCAATGTCTCAAGAGCGCGAAGCTACTCATGCTTGTCATCGTCGAGGAGAACGACATACAACATACCCCTTGGCAGAAAAAAACGCGGATTTGGAGTGGCCTCTGCTTGAACATATCGGCGGGAAAGTTCAGATGTGGTGAGGACCACATTATCGGCCGCAAGAGAGCAACACTAATCAAACCCCTGACGAGACATGGAATTCTTGTCTTCCATTTATTCGAAAGACCACAACCTCGGAAAGTGCACGTTTGCCACGTGGCGAACTGGGAAGACGTGCCTCGCGAGATAGTAGATGACGCATGAGCGGTTTAAAATAGATACATCAACCTTTTTTTTTGAGAAGATTGGGGCAGACGATTCGTGTTCGTATCCGAATCCTGAGCCGGTATAGAGTTTAGGGGAGCTAATAGCGAAACACAGCCAAGAGCATCGCAGGTCGGGAGGAACTTCTATTAAATATAGCAAACCTGACAGAAAGTTTACAGGGTACCAAAGAATTATCGAGGCTTTCCAGCCTAAGCTTTGCTCGGAAGATCTTGGGTTCAATCCCCAATGGCCTCGTGTAAACTCCTGGGCAAGCTTGGCACGCCCCAAATAGAGATAGCCTGTTAGTCCCCACGAGCGGCATTAAGCAGTGAGTGCAGATATTTCGAAGGGAGAAGGGACCTAAGGGGAGGGGTACAGCGACTGGACTGGACCATCGAAGAATCTAGATCCTGATGCTACTACAGGGTGACCGCTGGCCGGTATCGCCCTCCTACAGGTCAGGTACAGGCCCAGCATGTTTTTTCTTTTGTTTTATTTTTTTGGCTTTAACTCGGGGTGGAATGCTACGGGCTTCCCCCTCGTACTGTGATGATAAGTGAAGAAAAAGCCTGAAAGACCGTCCTGACCGATTTGACAGGTACTTCAATTGGTTGGGCTTGAGAGTATTTGCCTGTACGGAAAAAACAAAACTACGCGGCCATGCTGTACCTCTGATGCCAGCAGCGTGTCTGGAGTGTAGTTTCTGGCTGTGACACACCTGTCTTTGTTCCAGGGCGTTTTGCTTGCTTGTGATGGGGTGTGAACCGACAGTCTGTAGAGTTTTCCAACGGCTGTGGGTTAGTGTGGTAGTCTGCTTTCATTTTCGTCACAGGTACCTTGAGGGCAGTGGTTGGTGGTCCCCTCCTCAGAGAAGTGTCAATTGTCGGGATGTTGCTGATGATGCTTAACCCCAACAACCGGTGTTAAGGTGGATTATCACTTAAAACGTGCAATCAGTTAGGGGATTCTGCAGACTGTTGTGGGTTTAGCCTCCCGATGAGTCAGTCGGTGAAACTCCGACGAAACCGAGCGCACAGCTGTTATCAGTCTCCACGACTGAAAGTCGACCCAGAGCAGAAATAAACACCCAGGAGCGGTATTGCGTTTTTTCGGACAGTGGAATGATGAGCGCTCCAGGAGAACAGATCGGTGCCGTCCCAAACAAAAAAACAAAAAAAAGAAAGATAGGTGCCGTCCTAACTACATAGTATGCACATTCATGCACAGCGCACAGTTGTTATCAGTCTCCACGACTGAAAGTCGACCCAGAGCAGAAATAAACACCCAGGAGCGGTATTGCGTTCTATTGGATAGTGGAATGATGAGCGCTCCAGGAGAACAGATTGGTGCCGTCCCAAAAAAAAAAAAAAAAAAAAAAAGAAGATTGGTGCCGTCCTAACTACATAGTATCCACATTCATGCACAGGCGAGGGAGCGGGCGACTGCATCTTTTCGTGAAATTGGAAACACACAACCACAGATATGACCAGATACGAGGAAGACGTACAACAGGATGGTGATACGACTGCCAGTACACACATTAAGGGATATGCGAGGGGAAACGAAAACAAAGGGCCGGGAAAAGAATGAGACCGTAGCCAAGGAAGATCAGTAATAAAAGGGCACGAAATGAGGCAAGAAAGGATCGAAGGGTTATAAAAAGACGAAATGGATAATCGATAAAAGGAACGACGGGAAAGACAAGGACAAGAGGAGAGAGTAGTGTATGGGTAGACAGAAGACGGAGTATAGAAAAAAAAGAATCCGAGCGAGAGACAGAAAAGGAGCACAAACTACAAAAAACGTTAAGTGAAAGGAATGAAGGGAAGGAGTGGCAGAGCAGACGGGGAGGACAGAAAAAAGAACAGACAATAGCCATGAAAGGAAGGCAACAATTATATACTGACAAAAGAAAAAAACATGACATTCGCACAATCGAAGTGAAAATCCAAAAGCTTCACTTAATAACGCAGTGAACTTCCGTGCACAACAATACAGATCACAGTCCAACACTTCCACAAGGTGACATCACCGTGTGCTCAGACCAAATCAACCAGCTTTGACACGTTGGTGAGACAACAAGGGACAAATGTCGTACGAGTGTGATACATTGAGAAAACAAAAATGTCACTGTGAATGGAATCCACGTGCGAGCCGTTTATCCACCACCTCCATATTCCCCTTCTATTTCACGTATCTCGCCAAGGAAACCGCCCTCCTTTCCTGCCGCCACTCCCAACCGCCCTACGTTCGTGCCGTCGCTCCCTCTTTGACTACTTAGTCTCTCCAGTGAAATGCATTCTTTCCAAGCTCAGACGTCCCCATTGGAATAACCACTCCCTCTCTTTGACTACTTAGTTTCCAGTGAAAGCCTTCTTTCCAAGCTCAGACGTGCCCATTGGAATAACCTTCAACACGTTGAAACGCACGGTCTTCGAGAGAGGCCTGCACTCTCCAATGACAACCTTATCCCCCTCCTTGGCACGGAAGCAGGGAGATATGTGCGCAGACAAATTCGAATGCCGCTTCTCGTACCTAAAACAATCAATCAATCAATCAAACACCAGAGCAAGAGAAACGAAAACCGTTGGTCAATGCACTGACATGAAACACAATCCGAGAGACGTCGGGTCAAAAACCGTTTTCCATATCATTTAACAGCCGCGCAGGGCAGACTTGGACTCCACATCCGGTGGAGGATGATAGACCCTACTTACAAAAATCAGCCATCACAGAACCAGACAGACGTGCGACGTCACACTGAAATCACCAGCAAATGAAGGGCGATTTTAACCTGAAGAAAATACGCCCATTGAGTAGTAACCAGACAATACGCAGGCAGGGCATTAGATGAAAAATAATGTCGCCGCGTACACGGGAGAACACTTAGGTTTGCTCGCACCCGAGTTTCGTAAAAATTCCGAATTACTATACTAACCAAACCATCCGCCGGCAGGTCGGCACATCCCTGAGATCATGGAAATTTCTATTAAAAAAAAAAATTCAGGGTTATGCTCCTGAGATTTAGAAATTTCTAAAATAAAAAAATAAAACAATAAAGTATCAGGGTTATGCTCCTGAGATCATGAATTTCGAAGAAGAATGCGAGACTCCAGCGCCTAAGAATTGTTTTTTAATTATTGTTGTTTCCCTTCTGTTGCCTGATTTGATTTCAGGCATCAGTAGTTGGTCTGTGGAGGAGCACATACAACGTCATGATTCAGTTCAGTCTGAAAACGAGCTGACCGTTTCCACAGCCAAGAATTTGCCAAGAATTTGCACGAGCAGACTTTCGGCGGAAGGCAGGCCAATAACCGGTTATGCACTCGTTTGCCGCACAGACAGACTACGTAGTGCCGCGCTACAGCCAAACGGTTGCTGATCGACGATCCGCACCGCGCCCATCCTTTCTCCGGGGGGCCGATGCATAACTCTCGTTATGCAACCACACATTGTACGGCACTGCCTTAAGCTTAAGACATTTTTCTCCAGCTTAAGTGCCGCACAACCCTTAAAAGCCTCCCCAAAGCCTGAGTAATCTTCACTAAGGCAGTGCCGCCCATTATTTCTCAGGGAGGAGGCTACATAACTCTCGTTATGCAATCGCGAAATCATCTAAGCCGTGCCGACACCGCGCAATTTTCACTACGATTCCGCCGTTCTTAGTTTAAGAAAAGAAGCCATTTTTCTCCAGCTTAAGCCAGTGCCGCACAACCCTTAAAGCCTCCCCAAAGCCTGAGTAATCCACTCTTAGCTCCTTGTAATTGCTCCTTGGGGCAAATCAGGAGGGCAGATGGAGTCTTTCACGGAAGGACTCGGTAAATGCAGCGGCATCATTTCCCAGAAAGCTCAATTTCAGCAATGCCCCCACATTCCATTCCACTAATTGCTACTATCCGCTTCTGTGGGAGAAGAGAGTTCACTTCCACTTAAAGGACTTCTTGAGGTAACGTCCTTCCATCGCCCACAACTGCCAAACCCCACTGTCGATTTCGAATTATATATAAATATATTGTCACATTGTGAATCAGAGCGCACAAAAGGGGAAAGAAAAAAGGAAAAGGAAAAAAGGGGAAGGGGAAGAGGTAAGGAAAGCTCCACCTGTTCATAACCTCTTACGTACAAGGCCAGCCACGTGGATGACAGGTTGAGCGCTGGCTGCCCCCATCCCCGTGTGTCACAAGGACCCGCTTGCACGCAGCCAAAAGGCAAAGAGGTAAAGAAAGGGAGGAGGAAACCAAACCTGACAGGGAAAGAAAGATAATCCAATTGTCACAAAGCAAAGAACACATCCCACAGATCAATATATATGAGTGCCGCCCCAGGCCGGCACCGCCAAAAATACAAGCTCTAAGCACGTTCGCCTCCCGCGCTCATCGAGCCTTGGACTCTCGAATGATCGCTGCTTTCGTATTTTGGCAAGGAATAACCGTGCAGCTGTATATACTCTGCCATGACGAAGTCCAGTTCCTTTGATACCGGCCAGTGGAGCTGTGATAAACATGACAATATTCGCAAACTGGCAGTCCTGTACCCAATCACTCAAGTCCAATTCACTGCCACTCGAAAGTTCTGCCACGATGTCTATCGGACTCACGACATGTTCTCGGGTAGGCGGTATTACAAAGAATACAACCAGCGCACTAACCTCTGATACTTCTTGACAAAGTGCAAATAGTCTCGCCGCACTGTGATCGTTCTCGTCATTTTCGCCCTGTACACAGTGCCTGTCAAAATTCTCCCGCGAATAGATACTGTGCCTGTGAAGGGACATTTCTTGTCGATGTACGTCCCTGCATAGACGAGAAAGAAACGACGTTAGACATCATACTGCACACACACATCGCAGACCAGTTCATGGACCACAACCCCCAGCACACAATCAGACGACAAACACGCACACAATCAGATAAGAAACACTCAAGCGCTCAATCAGATGAGAAACACATGATAAACACTTGAGCAACAATCAGATGAGAAACACTTAAGCACACAATCAGATGAAACACACTTAAGCGCACAATCGGATGAAACGCACTTAAGCACACAATCAGATGAGGAAACACCTACTTCACGGGGTGCTTGAGAAAAGGAAACTAAGCTGGAGAAGCCGCCGTTGGGTAGTTTCCAAACCCTAATTATGCTCAAATAAAAACTGTCAGGGTAGGGTATCTCTGCAATTACTCACCTTCAATGGCCTCCCGCGGGGTCTTGAACCCAAGCCCGACATTCTTCCAGTACCTGTTGCCTCCCTTCCCGGGACCCTTGCTTTTGTCTCGCTTACCTCTGCACATGTCATTACATCAGCAATCCAGGCAGAACATACAAGCGTGAGAAAAAGTTACACGGAACTTAATGGAATTTGCGATGCCACTAAGAAACGTCCACATGTGCTCGCGTTCCATCAAGCGTTTCACGAGATTTGAAAGTAAGCAAGCAAACCGTTCGTTCAGTACCTGCGTTGTTCGAAATACTTATCCCATAACCCCCTTCCTTTTTACCCTAAATCACGCCAATTTCATGAAAGTTGAGGTGACTTGAAGCTGCATTACGTCTCCATTATGACGCTTATGAACCGCGGTGGCCCCACTGAGCTCGCCGCACGAAAACCCTAATTTTTCCTCGTCAAGATCGTAGAGTCAATAGCGTGTAACAGATTCGACATGAGATTTTACACCAACAACATAAGCCGTTTCACATCACCATTCCCAAGTCGAAGAAACAAAGGCATTCCCAAGAGAAAACCCGAGTCGAAGAAACAAAGGTAAGCGAGATCAAACACCAAGGGTGGGACTGCGGTACCACTTACGCGAGAAAGACCTTGGGTTGCTTTTGAAAGGCGCGTTCGTTCTGCAACCAACGACGCATACAAAGAGAAACAACAGACAAGATTGAACAGTCAGCACTCAAATACAACCCCGACGGCTAACAATCATCTAATACCAGACAGGTAACAGAAACGAATAAAGGAAACATGAGTCGGATAATCAATCTTAACCGTGGAACGCAGGAAGACCAAATCATAACAACAAATTCCAGGAGCGTTTCCCTTCCCTTCCCCTCCCCTCCCTTCTCATCAACGTCCCTTCACTGCTCTTCCCAATCCTCACCACCGCCCTTCCCTCCCTTCCCTTCGCTTCGCTTGTCCCTGTGCCTAGCGGCCTTCAAAGATGACACGCTAAGTCATCATCGAGAGAACCTTTTGGGGTTTATTTTCTCTTTCCGTGATGTGCGGGAGACAGAACAGAAAGATGATGATTAGAGAGAAAGATCCGGAGTGAAGGAAATGACGGAGAGATATACAAATAAGAAAATTGAAAGATAAGTAGGTAGGTAGACAGCGGGAGAGAAAGCGATAGAGAGAGAGAGAGACAGTTCCCTTCTCTTCGCTTGTCCCTGTCCCAAAACATGAAGACCACGAAGGTTGTGCGGATCACGAGATAGATAGTCGGAGAGGGAATCCAGATGGAAGTGCAACCCAGAAACACCACTCTGTCCGGAAACAGGCAGCCTGACCACTTTTTCCATATACCTGCTTGCAGGAGATGCGAGGGAGTACACACCACAAAAACACGAACCTTCCAATACTCGATCGATAACTCACTGACCTGAGGAAAGGACAAACACAGGAAGTGCTCATCAATCGAAGAAGGGGAGAATAACCGGACGACGGCTACCAATAGAGCACTTAGGTCTAGGCGACAGATAAAAATGGCAGTAAAATCCTCCAAAAGGCAAGCGACGACTACAAGGACACTGGGATCGACAGGCAAAGAAAGAACAGCTAATCACGACACCTGTAACGAATCGAATGCCACTCGCCAAGGGTCAGCGACACGATGTTAACCAAATGGTGCGCAGCATACCTTGTGCAAGGACATTGACAGATCACACATCTAAAATTTTAACAGATCCGCTGGAGTGAGGACGGTTCTGAAGTCCCACAGGATTTCAACACCAACATAACATATGAGTGAGGAGCATAGCGAGCACGAATCGGAAATATGACACGCGCCATCAAAGTTACGAGGAGACAGTGAAGATGACCTAGAATCAGATTTTTTTTTTTTTTTGGAAGGTTGACTAAGCCAAAGAGTTAAGGACAGGTCAAAGATAGAAAAAAAAAACTGGATAAAATTTATTGACGATCAAGCTCGGTTTAGGGAGAACGGTAAGCAAATGAAGACTGAGTCACGCGGATGCAAGGAAACACGGCGAGATGACTGGAGGGCAGGGCTATTGAGAAGGGCGTCAAAGGGATCACAAACACCAACAGAGGAACTGAAAATATGGCGAGTCCAGTACAAGGGGCAATTGCGGGATGTCTAGAACGCCAGGGATGAGAGGAAGACCTAAGGACGTGGAAGAGTCGAGGAAGGAGGGAGGGAAGAGAAGAGAGGAAGAAGGAAGATAGGCTCCGTGCGAAAGAAGATTATCAAGGAAGGCCCGAGAGCGGGAGAAGAGTCGAGAAAGGAGGAGAGAAGGGAAGAGGAGGCAGAAGAAGAATGGAGATAGGGTCCAAGTGAAGAACGAATATGTAAAAGCTCACGGGAAATTGGTTTTGCGGAATGAAGTCACGTGGAAATCAATAAGCAGAAAGGTCACAGTGGACAGAAAAATAGCAACGGCGGAGAAAATGAGATAGGAGAGAGAGACAAAGCCAGCTGAGAGCAGTACTCCGCACTGACAAGAGATCGTCAAGAAAGCGAAAGAAGACAGATCTGACGTACACATCCAGCACAGGCAGGGACTTCCTGACAAACCATCAACATCAGCTCCCTGATGACGTGTGTGTCTTTAACGTACCTGATCCGCCATCGCTGCCGGCTGCTAGACCTCTCCCGAATTTCCCCGCGCCACTAAGACGTCCTGCACAGACAACAAAGGAAAAACACGCAGCGCCGAAGAGGCCTACCGTTCGCCGGCGCTGCTACCATATACTCAAAAATCTCATTCCCGAAAGTGTCCGTCGGCTCCCCAAGGAAAATCACGCGCCTGTCGCCATGGGCATCCCTGCCAACCGAAAGCGGTAACAGCCCTTGCAAAACCGAAAGCGGTAACAGCCCTTGTAAGCTTACACTTAGGATAACAGGCCTCCTAAGCGGAAAACTGGGGCCCAGGCAACTGGGGGGTAACCCCGTGAGATTTACCGCAGGAGGCGAAACTGTTACCGCCATATGGACGGGACTACTTGAATCTTTCCTTCAAAGACGTCTGCGGCCTGCCGTCAAGGTTGTGTCGAAATGTGTTGTCCATCCGTTTAGGCCCCACGAAAATGAAAACCGTGAGGGGACGGAGTACACACGTGGCCTACGGGTAGCAGCGGCAACAGGCAGGCACAGGCCTGATAGAAGACCCAAAAGGCAGGCAGAGCTCAGAAAGTGAAGCAGGGAAAGCTCCAAGGCAGGCCAAGAGTGAAAGGAAACAGATAGGTCGAAAGAGGACCTGTAAAACCCCCAGCGAAGCTAAGTGATGGGAGGGGCAACCTGAGTCGTTGGAGTGTCTGGTGTGGTCTCCACAAATCCTACCTGAGCAAGGTGTTGGTTGAACATGCTCTCCTGCGGCAACGATCTCCGAGCACTAAGGCTCACTCACATACCGTGTGGTCGTGGCCTTGCAGCCCGTCGTCAAATGAAGTGATGAAACCCTGACGATAGAGTAGAGTTGAGATAGGGCCCCTTGCTCCACTACACAACACTATACACGATCATCCAGATACATTCAAATGCTGGACTCGTTCAAATGCACCTGTTCAACGAAGTGCACGAGAAATGCACTGCCTCAGATGAGGAACCTCACTCCACTTCACACAGCACATGTATCTCGATATCGCATCATCCAAATACATTCCAAATTTGTAACTTGTATGTATACACCTTGGTTTAGAAAGCAAACAAATGATCATAGAGTGTTGAGTTAGTTCAACATCGCAATATAAAAGGGACCTCTGGTAGGTAGGTGGTGAAAGGCAGAAAATTAATTTGAGAGAAGTGCAATAAACTCAGTTGAAAATCTGCAGGAGTCAAAGGCAGGGTCATAACTTTTGGTCGAAGGCTAGAAAGTAGGGTCAAAAGTCGCGTCTTTAGTCCATTACAGGTCCGTGATAAATGAGATGTAAAAACAAAAAGGCAAATAATAATTGAAAGAACATACGAAGATAAGGCATAATTTTGTGTTTTATCAGAAAACATAGAGTAATTGGTGTAAACTCAGAAACTGATGTCTGTAGTGGAATGAATTTGGTCTTAGGTTGAAAGTAACCTTAATGCAATAATTATTATGGAAGCGTTACAGCAACCAACAAGGCTATGCATGAAGCGATGGACTAGGTCCATGCCTTGCTTGATAGTTATATAGTTGAAAAACTACTTAAGATAAAAAATGATGTTAAAGAAAAAAAAAACGACATGAAGACGGCAAGAAAAAAGAAACAAACATACAAGTTATTAACACTAATATTGCACAACTTAATGAAGCTTTGAGAGAAAACAAAGCAAGAAACGAAACCTATCTGAAAAAGATGCAATAATAAAAGATGTAAAATAAAAATTGAGAGAAATACAACATAAGGTTACAGGGGAAAAATAAGAAGCAAAATTGGATTTGGCGTCATTGACGAAACATGTGTTGGAGTATTTTGCCCGTACCTTGTCCACTTTGAAGTAAAACTAAACATAATAATTTTATAAAAGAAATAGCTCGGCGTTGAATTTGCCACATTTACCAACCTAGTATAAGGTAAGATAGAGATAAATGGAAAATTAAAAAAATATATATAAAGAAACTCGCAACGAAAAATTGATGGGCGACACCATTAAATTATCAAACTAGCGATAACAAAAAAAAAAAAGAAAAAAAAAAAAGACACTGCAATTCACATATATATGAATTTTTATTATTATTACTATAGATCATAAAAATTCAAATATATTGTTCCACCACCTTAATAAAAAAAAAACACTGCGTTGCTTTCATGATCTCGTAACTATGTGAAAATGTCAAGGCATGCGTTCTGTCTGAGGCAAATGTTGCAGGATTTTTATTCTATGGGGATTGGTCAAAGACACTCAAGTTGAAAGAATGTCTAAATAAAATTAAGGAAAGGTTAAAAAACATGGCAACTTTCGACAAATTGTTTGGTGAGTTTACTACCATAACCTCGGTGGACCATTGTAAACCAATTATTAAAGGAAGTAGATAAGTTATGGCAAAGTTAATCGTTAAAACAAAATCAGGTAAGCACAACTACAAACAATTTATGAAATTTCACCTCGTAGCGTGAACAAATAACTTCACAACCGAAATATATGTATTCCGATGTGGTAATTGAACGAGAACAAGGTGGTTTGGGCAAGAGAACCTCATGGAGATAAAAATGGCAAACCCACGTCCTTGTCATTTTGGTTGATGAAACAATGAAAAAGTAACCTCTCGAAGAAAATGATGGTGAAAAAGGAAACAATGATTAGTATAAAAATTGAAACATTCATGTCATTATTGCTAACAAGAGAGACATACAGAAAAGTAAAAAAAAAAAA